GGGTACACTGCAGTATTCCGTGCCCCCGAGTGTCTTGAGCATGGCCGGGTCCTCGCGCAGGGGTTTATCCAGGGTGATCCAGTGGTGCACGTTGCTCGACACGACGACGATGCGGGGAAGGGTCACGTGCGCGCGCGCAGTATGGAGCATGCGCGGGAGGAGAAGGAGGGCAAGGAGGGATGGCGAGAGGTCGTTCACTTGGAGACTACGACATAATATTTCATCAGTCCGGCCACGAGAAATGCGTGTATCGCACCGAAGGCGCACCTAATGTCCCACCCGTCCTTGGTGAGCTCATACCCGGATTTCCCCACGGCGGCATTCTCAACAAGGATGTCAAGTCGGCCGCCGTCGCGCTCGAACTTGTCGGCAAAGTGGCGCACCGAAGCGAAGTCGGCGAGGTCGATGAGCCAAAGCTCTGCCCTCTCGTAGCCCGTAGCGGCCTTTATTTCTAGGTTAGGAGTGTAAGTAGGAAAATAAGGAGCACATGTTTTAGTGCAACGCACTATTCACTGCAGCCTGGCCTTTGGCCTGGCTCCGGCACGCCAGGATGAGCCGCCCGGCGTTCATGCTGGCGAAATGTTTCGCTGCTTCAAACCCGATGCCGGTATTGGCGCCGAGAACGATTACAGTCTTCCCTGTGAGGTCGGCGGTGACCACGGCAGGCGGGGCAAAAATCTGACTTCTGAGGAACGTCCAGAAGGAAAGCTGCATGGTTGGGAGAGGTGGGCAGAGGTGAGCACTTGAAGGATGCCATTTTGTCTAGATATGAGGCCTTTTATAGGGCTCGGAGTCGCTTTCTAGACGCGTAAACACAGAGCAGCGGAAGTTATTCCGAGTTTCTCGTTGTGCCTTGGGAGTATTCAATTTCGCGGCAAAATGATTGGCCATCAAACCGGGTGGGCCGCCCTGCGGCGGCTGCGGCGCCTTCGCATAATCGTGCTTACACTCTTTAAGGTAACTCTGGTAGTATTTATCGCTTTGACCGCCTTGTGGAGAATCGCCAAACCTCCGCATTCGATCCCGCCCCGCTCTTATTTTCAAGTTCTACTTATTCGTGTCCCATGTGCGCCAATATGGCGCAAACCTCGTGTCTCAACTAACACTCAATTCACTTCCATCCAGATTGCATGCCACTTCCTGAGTATTGATCCTATGTCATCCTCCAATTAAGGCAGCTGGCGACACCGTCGAGAAGACAGAAGAAATTATAAGTTCACTGCTCGAGGTAACCTTAGCCTCGCGACGAACGTCGACGAGCTGTAAGTTTCGGCCCTATCGCACTCATACTCACTGATTGCACGACTTGGATTAGGCATATGATTGCCAAGAATCCATCAAGTTCTCAGCCCTCCGAGATTCAATTAATTGTGTTGTCCGAAATTTCGCCCGTAACCGGCGTGGTTGGGGGACACGGATCAACGTGCATCATTCGGCATCAGGCACTTCGATCTCTCTTTGATCGATGGCAAACTTGCCCTCGACTCCGATGCAGCTGAAGCAACACCTTCACAAATAATATCTGAAGCCAAAGCCTTCAAAAACTTCGCACAAAGCTTTCAAGCCCAGGTGGAATTGCCGGAACTCGACCTTCTCGCAGCCCATCAGGAAACTTGGACGAGCGACTCGGAGCGAGGCAGCACGGACATTGGCAAGACGCGGTACCGTAAGGCCAAAATTGAGGTGCAAACTGAAAGAACTGCGCGGCTGGGTGCGGAGGAAAGGCTGCATGCGACGCAGGCGGATATCGAGGACCTGCAGCACATGAGGACGAATGATCGCGAGGAGCTGCGGGAGGACTGCCAGGTGTTTGCAGAGAGCGTAATGGCCTTTTCCACGAAGAATTCAGATACAGATCCCGTTAAAACTGCTTCAGGAAGCGATGTGTGGGTTGTCCTTATCTTTTATTACTGGGATTGGCACTTATCAGGGCGTCCTCAGGGTCACCCATACGCGCCAGCTTCACCCGCGGTAGAACCGCCCTCCAAGTGCACGCGGCACGAAGATTCGCACACGGAACACACAGCCAAACGGCCAACATCGGAGTCCCCGTCCACAGCGCACGCCCGCAGACGGTGTTCTCCGCGTCAGCCCCGCCTCCAATACGTGATACGACAGACCTCAAACCCCTCTCAGCCCCGCTGGACATCCTGGGCTATCACCGTGCGGGTGTCATTATCGCCAGGAACGTACCATCTCCCCCACCCGTACTCCTTGCGCTCCAAAACGAGCGCTTCCAATACCTGTGACGCAAGCCGCTCCCTGCGGCACGTATGTCACCCCTCGGTCTTCTCCTTAATAACTTCTCGTGCGCCGCAGAATCCCGCACGTGGTCTGGCGTCGGGTAAGACCACCGGGGCGTCGAATGCGAATAAGCGGGCGCGCGACTCGCATACTGGCGCGGAGTCGGACTCGTCCGTCGAGTGGAATGAATCGTACGAGCGGTGATAAGCGGTGATTCTGTGCGATCTTAGTCCTCAGCCGTTGTTTTCTGGACTAACATACGGATTTTGAATTTTGTGGAGTGGTCCCGTGTTCTCTATCTCCTGCAGTTCTGATTTTCATCTGTGCAGGAATTCTCCCTAGGCGACAGTTTGGATGCATAAGCATCGCAGGCCTTGCCCTCGCTCAATAACCTACTCCCTCGTGCAGAGATGTAATCATGAAAGTGGTGATCTCTGGAAATGGAATTGAGCTGAGGGCCCGGACTTGAGTCGTTGGTTCTTCCGTATTGGGATGGGCCTCGAAATCAAGCATCCTGACTTATTCAGGATCAGCTTCAAGCCGCGAGTATCGAAATCTGATCATAAATTCAAAACTTCACATCCGGCACTAGATCTATTTTCTTCAAAGCAGTCTCCGTCGAGTGATATAAATCCTGACATTAACGGCAGGATCGAATTCGCGCTGTTCAAAGCGAAACGTCTGCCCTTTACTAGAAACGGACTTTACCTCCTCGAGCTCCTGCTTGTTCTAGAACGCAAGTACGGGCAGCCACCGTACTGAACCGCCAAAAACGCACCTTTTATTGCTGCTCCCTGGTTGTAATTTTAGTACACATATTCAAACTCCTCAAAATCTTAAAAGCTGTACTCTTTCTGCGCGAGTATTTCCGGTTCCTAATAGTAATATTGAGTTTGAACACTCTGCACGTGACTTGGCTGAAACGACGAGCTCAACTAAGAGTTCAACGCAGAACTGATTTACTATCAGACCACACAAGAAGGGAGATATAAATACAAGCAGCCTCGCGGCGTCTTGTAGCTTTATGGGCGTCAGTAGGATCGAAGTTCGGAGCTCGGCCGAGTCGGGCCGAATCTCAGTGCTCAGTCAGCCCCCTAAACTTCGACAGCGCTTGAAGGCTTGACCTTTCCAGTGGTCGATCTCAAGTGGCCCACATCTACTCGGCATATGAACTAGCCAGAAGACCCGCATCGAAAGGGTCCCTCCTTCAAGCTTCCTTTCGTCATTTTTTGTTATCGCCGACTCGGAGTCCCAATGGACGTGTCAAGGCTGTAAAAGTTTACGGAATCAAGGGAATCGCTATGTCGGTGGCAGTGTGCAGTGCCTCATGCGCGCGTCGTACGAGCTCCTCCCTCCTTCGATGATTCCCTCGACTGCACTTGTCCTCCTCAATGATGTCGATCTAGATCTCCGGATGTACTCGAATCCAAGAGTTGACGAGCGACAGATGAGGCTTACTCGTGGCTCGCTGAGTGATCCTGCAACAGGAAGAACACTGGCTCAAGTTTATTCTCGCTTCAGCCGCACCTGCGAGCTGCAGGCCAACCGCACGGCACATCGGTTGGACCGTGGTCCGTCAGCTACCGCCAACAGAATCGAGACCTTTTTCGGGACGGGGGAACAACGGGAGGACAAGCTCGAAGAGTTGAGGGCAAATGTGTGTCCCTGGCTTGAAGGGAAGTGTTCTCATCTCCTCAAATATGCGCTTCCGTGAGTCTTGGCACTTTATTTCTTTGCCCACATATTCTGAACCGTGTATTTGCAGGTCTGAAACTGTGCGAACACAAGTCCAAGCATTCAAAAGTATCGTGACGATCGTGACACAGTACAACGGCACGCGAAAACTCTTCCTCAGATCCAAACACTTGGAGCGGGCTAGAAACACGGAGTTTCTGATCTCTGCGTTGTGGGCACGAGTGGAAGACGACATACCTCCTCAGGACTGGCATTTCTATTGTAATTTGGCAGCTACTTGTCTGTCTGACACAGATATTTCTTCGATACTGGCGGACCTCTCGCCCAAGCGCTTGGGCTGCGTTCACACGGGAACTGGGGTTCTCAGTGTCCTAGAGCACATCTTGATCACGTCAGAGCGCGGGTGTGTCATCAAACTCCGGATGGGTCGTTAGACAAGCATGCAATTTTATTTAAATGCTGCTTAAATAGAAACACTCGATTGTTTCCTCGCCTTGGGCATGCACATCGAGTATCGTGAGGTTCGGCAAGCGACATTGAGCTTCAACATCGACCTTCCTTGAAGTTCTGATGTCGAGGTTGATTTTAATTAATTAACACCGGTCCGGGTTCAATTTCAAGGAATCTGCATTGTGAAAAGGAGGATGCATCACCTAGACGGGAGGGCTAAATACACTTCTCATCCACCCGATACCTCGCCCTTGCCCTCGTCCTGCGCCGATTGTAATCAGTAAATCACCAACTAGCTGAAAAGAATTTAGACGGCAGTGCTGCAACTCGACGAACGGACACATATGCGTACTGAAACTCTCCCGCACCGTGCACTCAGCATGAAGATGCCAATCTCTTCGATCTCGAGGTTGAACAATAGACACGTGACTTTGGTTGAAAAACTGATTGCGATATACATATGTACAGTGCCTTCCCCGGCACCGTGAGACTTGCAGTCGCCACTTATACTCTCTCACAATCCAAAACCAAAGGAATTTTCGTACAGTTGAAAAATTCAAGACACGACCTCGTCAAAAAACAAACACAAAAAGAGCCCCACCGAATTGTAATGGCCTGATCTTGAGTCGAACAAGGGACTCCTGCTGAAAGAACCGCGAGATGGTAATGCAAGCAAAGATGTTACCACTACACCATCAGGTCGACAGCCGAGTCGGAGCGTTCCACCGTGATGAGGTGAAGTCAAAAAAAAAAGAAATGGTGTTGCGTCGATTCTTCGTACTTACTGAAATGTTGCAGTGGTTGAGGCCATGTTTTGCGCGGCGGCGCGAAGCGCCTAGATATACCTAGTCTTGGAGAGTCGGATATTATGCGTGGGGCCTTCCTGTCTTCCTGTTCTGCCAGTGGGCATATAATAAATTAGAATTGTATAATTATCGGTCGATATACTATACGTGTCGCCGGCGGGGGCTCTCTTCTATCTGAAGATCGGCATCTTATAGGGATAAGGATAGGGAAAGCACGGTCGAATGTACCATACCATCTCGGGACATCGGAATCCGTGTCGAGTATCATGCGTACTTCGCATTGGGCGCCCCGGACCCGGATTCAGATTTTGCGTGGAGATGCAGAGGGGCTTGCTGTCGGGTTCAATCGATTGCGAATTGCCACTTGCAGTGATTAGATTGAGGGAAGGCTTTACCGTCAATTTGAGCATGTGCCGCCTGGATATTGTCGCGACCCGATAAATCGCCAGGAACGAACACGGACGGCGGTCCCGAGGTCCGCCTGCGGTTTTGAAAATGGGAGCACGGGAGGCGAGCGCTCGGGTTTCGATTTCGAACGGCAGGCAGGATTCAGTTCCCATATAATTAATGCCCACGGCTTCATGTAAAATGTGGAGTCGTACTGCCTCCTGGCGCGTTCGCAAGGTGTTAGGGCGGAATAGTATTGGCAAGTAGCGAATGGGTTGTCGCACCGGAGTACATGCGTAAGGACCATGACTGGGACGGGCAAGGTCGGGCAGCGGGTGGGAATTGTATGGTTGAGTATAATTGGGACGAGTCTGACAGGGAGAGCTTGGAGAGAGCCGCGTGATTCGCGGGTGAGCAACTTCTGTCTAATTTCAGCGGTCGCGTCATCAACAGATTTTGTTGAACCAAGCAAAGCAGCATGTGCTGAGGGGGTGAACCATTATTGGAGAGGCAGTAGCTTTCATGCAACAGTGTGGTAATTGAACAAGCATTGACAAGCCAGATGAGATTCAGAACAGTTAAGTCTGTCTTCGAAAGGAAATGGCGTGGAAAAAGGCACATATGAAAGCTATACTGCGGGCACTGCTGACTCCCGAGGTTGGATGAGTACCACTACGATTCGATAAAGCTGCAGGACGGCGGCCAGCTGGGATGCATTTCGGGGGTCGCAAAGTATGACAGAGCTCTCGCGGAGAGCTGGAGGAGTAACATGGGAGCTCGAGAAACAGATGCAGCCCAGCCCGGGCCTCCGACGGTTACTATGTACATTGTAAAGTTCGCGGACAAGATTTGACAGGCGCTATCTTCTTCGCCTTGGTAGCATCGGGCCTGCAGCAGCGCGCGGGTCCAAAACAAGCAAAAGCCTCAAGCTTTTCAAGGAAACGACTCGGATGCGATTGGATTTGGATGCAGACACGTGTCGGATCAGGTCGGCCGTACGCGAGCTCTTCCGGAGTCCGCCGGCCTATCATCCAATTATCATCACAAATTTCTTGCAAAGCGACTGGCGTCTCTTCGCAGCTGCGTGCATACTGTATGTGCCTTATCGATTACCTTCGGCGCCTATCCACTGGCTACTAAACAATGCAATCTGGACTGAATGGCACACTGGCACGCTCGGTGGTGACTCTGGACACTGTCGGACTGGCTTTGACCTGCGTTGTTAGTACGTTGAACCATAAATATCAAGGCCACTGCTGACATTAAGTCTCTTCAACACACGCGAAGTCCGGCGGAAGATGTCCGAAAATAAATCGTGGTCTGACATGCGCCGAGCTGTTCGAACATCTGAAAAATTCAAGCATCTCAATCGATTTTACAAGGCTGAAGCGTTGAAGATGTACACAATTGAGCATGATCCTCCTTCCACTTCGTCGCAGATCTCGCTGTTCAGTCTGATGCCTTGTCTCGTGGGTATTCTGTCTAAAATAAAACACAACAGCATCGAAACTGGCAGCGAAGCATGCATACATCAGGAAATAAACGCCGGCCTACGAGCATTCCTGTGCAACGGCAGCAGTTACATAACCTCATAAACCACAGCCCACACCTTTCTGTTCTGTCAGACTCGACATGTCCGACGCTGTCCGCTACAGTCGCCTCCTCCACGGGAAGGGTTTTGGCTGCGCATTATTTGAGCCACAACTGTCCGACGATCTACCCTCTACACTACGGCAAACCGGCATTCGTATCGGGGATGTAGGGATTGTAACCCTAAACGGCAGCTTCGAACCAATCTTCAACATCCTCGACCGTGCAGAGGATAACTACTTTGGCGTCCCGCAGGGATTCGAGCAGGTGAGACTCCGCCATAATGACATCGCGGCGCGGAACCTCTGCCACCTCCCGGGATCCGACATTTCGAATACCGCTGTCAAGAAGAAGCGCCTCGACCTCGACGTCGGATTAGAGAACAACGTGTACGTGTTTTCCGTCATATCTGTCTTCTTCCGCTCAGTTGAATCGATAATGATCAAGGTTTATGCCCGCCGCGGCAGGCGCGATCGTCGAGGTGTCGACAAATTCGAAGGAGACAGCGCTCCTTTTGCTGCCGGATGGGGCCTCCCGTTGGGATCTGCGGGACCTTCAAGTATTTCGCAACTATGCGTTGAAGCATGCGCAAAGCTGGTACGAGTTCGTCAACGGGGTCCTCGGTCGTATGGTCGCAAACGGCGACCTTTATCTCGTCACGGGTGTCACCAAGTCAACCACCTGGAGCGTTGCGTCACTCGAGAATCGGTCGGGCGATGGTACGGTGTCACTGAAGCTCAAGGCCGCGCAGATTGCTACTGCAGGAGCATCCTGCACATGGGAATGGGAGAGCTCCAGCTCTTCGGTTAATTCCGGCCCGAATCGTTTCCCTGGGGAGGAATCGTGGCGGGATAACCAGACCGTTTTTGTCCGCGGCTTCAAAGTTTCCCTACGTACGACGCCGTTGAGGAGGTCCCCGAAGTTACTCACGATCGTCAACTCCAAATGGGCCGATGTGATATCGAAGAGCTCCTTTGGACCATTCTCCCCACCATCACGCCGCCCTGAGTCTAGTTCGATGAACGACCTCCCATCGAGTCCGCCCGGTACTTCAAGCAGTGATAGCATTTCAGATGATGGATCGCTGAACTGTGTTCCCAACGTGAGTGGTGGGATAATGATTCGCTTCTTGATAACTTATTGGCCTTCAGCTATCTCACCCGTTAGATTGTATCAACGAATTCCTCCTTAATTGCGTGAGTGACTCTATTATCATCATTTTATCTATAGACTCAGTTGCGGTTAGAATCCCGACGCAATGGTTGCGGTCACCCACGACGATGAATTAAATTCCGTCTTAACCGAGGTGGGCCATCCACACTTACAGATTTTCACTTGCTAATTTTGCTAGGCCGACGACGAGGTCCCTGAAGGTGATGACCTTATCCGCCGCTTCTGGAACAAGTTCACCTTCGAAACCACTTCTGGTAGATCTTATTGCTCGCCATACACATAAGTCTAACATTCTCGCAGATGGGGTGCACCTCCAAGTTCGCAGCACTAATACATCCCGTTCTGCTCTATCTGGCCAACGAATCACTGAAGCTAATGCCCAAAAACATATGCAGTCACAGGCGCTTCCGGTGATGCCTCCACCCTATTCGCCCCAAGCGCGCCCCAGGAGCTTCATGGATTTTGCTCCTGCTCCGCTCGCTAACTCGTCCTCGTCCGCCGAACAGCCCCACCCGCAAATTCCGCGGCCAAAGATCTCTCGCGTGCGCACGACAGAAAACGGCATCACCAAACCCAGCACGCGGCGATGCTGGACGCTTCCGAACTTCCATCCACTCAGACTGTCCCTCAACCTCGCCCCTCTACATCCACCCCCGTCCCATCCCGACTAGCTATCCGCACCGCCGTAATCAAAGCACTGGCAGTGAAGGAAAGATCCCTGGACGACCTTTTACGCTTGATGCCCAATGAGAATGACGCCGAAAAGCGAAAATGCCGATTGCTTGAGCTTCTCAGCCAGGTATGTTTCCTCCCTTATGTGTCGAATGCCTACTTCATCTCTTCCTCAGCTCGCTGAACAACCAAATGCCACGAAATCTCCTACTCAGTGGCGCCTCAAACCTGACACTTGGGTCGAGGTTCGTCCGTACGAGTGGGCTGATTTAACGGAGCAGGAAAAGACGGCCATGGCGCGAACTGCTAGGCTCACATTCCGTAACTTGAACATTCCCGAGAGCGATCCTGTGTGGGCACACGTCGTCTATCGGAAAGGCGTGGAGACTTCAGTGATAACTTCCGGATCAGGGCCCTCCAAAGCATCTGCTGAGAATCGAGCTGTGGATGCCAAAGGTAAAGAGGATGCCAAAGGTAAAGAAGGCGTAAGCAGCGCGCACAAAGCGCGATGGCGGCTTCGTACCGAGATCACTCAGTGACGGGTCACGTCAGTATCCCACGGTTATATTTGTAAGTACGACCTAAATCTGTGTCATTGCCGAAAATGCCGAACCATTGCCAATTTCCAGAGTATCTCACTCAAATCTCAGCTTTCGGGCTCGTCTGGATCTGTTTTTATGCCCCAGGTTGTACACTTTACGAGCCAATGAGGACGAGGAATTTTCTACGGAGCTGCGAGTAAATGTCTCTAAAACGCTCCGCTTGCGGGGAAGATAAAGTTTGGCAGAGCCTGAAATTGAGTCTTTGACACTTAGGAAATCAATGTACGCTCGAACAGCTGCGAACGCAGGTCAAAAAAACTTAAGGAAAAATTCAACTGCTCCTGTGGCTTGAACTTGGGCACGATGTGCCTACGAAAAATACAGAATCCGAATATACTAACCGTTCAGTCAAGAAGCTACCTGTGTTGCCTAGCCTTCTCCGCCCTATATAAGGCGCAGACGACGGCAGGCAGCGAAACTCAGCCGTTACATGTCACGAATTTGCTGATGCAACATCTCATCTGATAGTGAA